ATCAGACACCCAGACTCCAGTCTTGTGGGACCCTTGGTAGAAAGTTCCACTGAACTCACAGGGACTTGCAACCATATGGAAAAATGAGAAAACTCCAATTGTTTTAAGCCAATATGTCTGTGAGGACCAGTCACCACCACCACAACAACAACAACAAATTGAAGCATTAATTATTTTAAAGTATTTTTATTTCTATGTGTCTGTTAGCATTGCTCACATCTTTAAAAGGAGAGAACCTTAGTTTGTTTGGGCAGCTACAACAAAGTACACTTGACTAAGGAGCTTCTAAAGCACAGAATTTATTCCTGGCAATCTGCTGAATCCAGGCATCTGAGGTCAGGGTTCTGACACTCTGGAGCTCCAGGTCTCATGTGGCCACCACCTTATCCTTTCATAGCAGCAAAAGAGGATAGGAGATCTTTCTAGGGTTCCTTTATTATGTAAAGACACTTATCTCACCCATGCCACCTTCACCTTTAATTATCTCCCAGCAACCCCACCTCTTAATACACACAGGAAGGTGGGGGTTGCAGTGTATGAATCGGGGGCCAGCGACATAAACACTCAGCCCAGAGCAACATGCTATGATGATTGATTTAGCTTTCTACTGTGGAAGCTCTTAGGCTGTCAGAGTTTCACCATGAACATCATTTAGTCCACCTCATCACCTCCTAAGTGTTATATGATCATCTGAACAAAAACAGAAAGTAAGGACAGAATAATGAATGACATTGCTCCAGACTGTACTCTCAGGGTTTGCCCTTATTTGCCGCTGCCACCCCTTGATGCTTCAGGAAAGGGTGGCCACTTCTACAGACTAACCGTAGCATTTTGGGAAAGCCAAAGCCTGTGCCAAAAAAATGACTGTCTCCTAGCAACAGGTGGTCTGATGGCAAGAAAGCCTCTTTGTCTTGACCCTTGCTTAGCTTTGACTAATCAGAACTGACATTTGACTATACACAAGACTAAAGAACATTCTTTACCCTTCATCCTGCTCCTTCATCTGCTGTCTGATTACTTCCCATTTCCCCCTCTATAAAATGAAAAGAATAATACATGAAGCAACCTCTCAAATAATTACATTTCAAACCAATACACTTCATTAAGCATGTCTGTAGAGTCTGAGAAACACATAATAAGGAGATCAGCTACTGCAGCCAGGCCCAAACACTTGACAGCTTAATATCCCTAAGGTCTCTCTATCACTCCTGTCACGGTTTTTGTTCAGGTTTGCAGAAGGATGTGAATCTCCATCCAGGTTTTCTGGAACCCATATCCTGTCACTTAAAGACTCCACTAATGTCTATAGTCCTAAATTGTAGCTGAAGTTTTTCTGGTCCTGTCTGGCTCCCACAGCCTCATGGTCCACAGCCACTCAGACCTAAGTAAACACACAGTGGCTTATGTTAATTAAAACTTTGCAGCCATTAGCTCAGGCTAACTATTGACTAGCTCTTACACTTAAACTCAGCCCATTTCTGTTCATCTATATGTTGCCACATGTTTCCTGGCTTTACCTGTGTGCCATTACATGCTGCTGCCTGGATGGCAGGCTGGTGTCTCCTGACTCAACCTTACTCTTCCCAGAATTCTCCTTGTTTGCTTATGCCACCTATACTTCCTGCCTGGCTACTGGCCAATCAGTATTTTATTAAACCAGTGTACAAAATCTTTATTCCACAGCACCAAACCTTCCTCTTTATCCTCTGAAGAAGATATGTGAGGAAATCCACTCATCATTTCTTTGTCTGTGCATGTTCACATGTATATACATGCTTATTACATTTGTGTCCATGCATGTGGTGGAGGTACACATTTGTGCATGTGTGTCTGTGTCGTGTCCGTGTCCGTGTGTGTGTGTGTGTGTGTGTGTGTGTGTGTGTGTGTGTGTGTGTATCCCAGAGGTCAGCATTGATTATCTTCCTCTACTGCACTTCACATTCTTTTCCAGACAAAGTATCTCTCTGAGCCTGGAGCTCACTGATTTGTCTAGACTAGTTGTCTAGAAAATCATAGAGACTCTCTCCTCTATACCTCCACAGCACCGAGATTAGAGGGGTGTGCCTGGCAGTTTTACAGAGTTCTGTGGGATTGGATTCAAGTCTCCATCCTTGTGTAGAGTGGCAAAGCAACTTATCAACCAAGCCATCTCCTCAGCCCCCATTCAAAACGTCTTTGTTCCAGGAGCGATGCATATCATCTTTATTCACACCCACTGGAAAGAAATAGTCAGGTCTCCCCACCTAAATACACAGGAATTTTAACCTGGCAGTGTGCCTAGGGAGAAATAAGCATGGAAAATGGTGAATCTTAGCACTGTGCCTCTCACAGATGATAAGATGAAGCCGAGGGATGATCCACAGATTTAGGCTGTCAATTTACCTTCATTATGTATTTGAAGGTATGTATTTCTAGCCTCCATTGCTGCATAACAATGTACTCAAAAATTCAGCAACATAAAACAACGTTTAATTAACTAAGCTAATGGGCTCTACATGGTTAAAATCGAAAACAGACACAAAGGAGTTATTAATCATGTTTCTGCTCCCTGAGTATGGACTCAACAGCATAGGCTGCAATCATGTAAAGGATTCTCATTCATGTGTCTGCCAGCTGATGCTGGCCATTAGTGAAGACCTCAACAGAGGCTGCTGAGCAAGAAGCATCACATGGAGTCTCATGTGGCCTCCATTTCTTCATGATATGGTAGCATCAGGGTGCTCTGGTGTGGCAGCTCAGAATCACAAAAACAATGCACTAACTAGACAGGCAGAAGCTATGCTGTCAATCATGACATAGGTCATTTCTGCTGTTGTCCCCTGGCTTAAGAATTTGCAAGCTGACTCAAATTCAAGGAGAAAGGACCTAGATCTGCACCTCAATGGAAGAATACTAAGCCACAGGTAAAGGACCATATGGAGTGAAAGATATTACTGTGTCTAGTTTTGGAAATTATAATCTCCCTCATACATTGGTTTAAACCAACTGAATTTCCCTGTGTGAAATGCTTTGTGCTTTATAGAAGAATGGGCAGCAAACCATGGCCCTGTGCCTGTTTTGACAAACAAAATTTTATTGAAATACAGCCATGCCTATTCATTAGCAAAGTTGCATAGCTCCAAAAGAGACCATATGTCCTGAAAAGACAGCATTATTAATTCTCAAGCCTGGGCAGTTTGCTAACTCTGTAGATAGAATATTGATTAAGGATGTGGGCATGGAGACACATGTTTATATATTGCAGTTAGGTGTTATGTTGGCTTAGTAAATTGGTGGTTGTAGATTCTCCTCCAATAACCATGATTTCACTAGCGCTGATTAGACAGCTAGGTTTTCAGTACCAAGCATGGTCTTCCTTTTGTTGAGTGTGTCTTAAGTTCAATCAGAGAGCCATTGGTTACCACCAAGGTACGTGTGCCACTGCTGAACCCATAAGATTATTGTGCCATGCTGGTCATTGCTGTGTTCATGGACATCATGTCTGAGCAGGACTGTTGGTTGTGTCTCTCCTTTGCAAGCTTGTGTGGCACCTTCTAGAACCATGAAGGCTAGGGAGGTGACATGCTAGGAGAGTTAGCTCAGGTCCCTGTTTCTGAAGTTCATGGAGTCTTTAGTAATAGAAACTCCCTTTCCACCTCTGGGAGTAAGCAAGGGCAACAGCCATAGGCTGTATGTTTTGGGGGTCTCTTAGACAGCCCTGACCAATAACTCAAAAGAGGGCTTCTCATGTCTGGTGTTGGGGTTTTTTGGTAGGTGGTCCTTATTTCCCTAACATCACCAGCTGATTGGGTGATATCTAACACCAGTATGAAGAGTAATATATGCTGCCCAAGGTCCACTGACTTTAAACTTTGATCTCATGCAAAAAAGGCAAATGGCATCTTCACAGAAGCATCCACATGTGCAAATATCTGGCACCATGATCCAGTCAGGTTAGCACATAACATAAACCATGAAACTATCTCTAACCCTTTCATTTTTTTTCTTGCAGAAAAAAATTGGCAAAAGTGCAGCTTTATGAAACCTAGATCTATGTTTTGATAGCTAAATTGTTTTATAGTATACAATCTGTTAGTTAAGTCCATGACTATGTATCTATCCACATGACTTGTCATGGTGAAATGCAATATAGCCACTTAATTGTTTTATTATATTTAAGTATAAAATCTAAGGGCATGTATTTCCTGGATTCACATCATGCACCAGGCATGTGTGCCCAGGAAAGGACTGGTAGTGGAGGGGGAGAGAGTGCAACACTGATGTTAAGGTTAACTCTGCTGCAAGCATCAGAATCTAGATTCCACCTGAATCCTGGGTAGCTTTGTATTTCAGCATTGACTTCAACGTTCTGAAAATTCCACCTTTATAATTTCAGTTTTTCAGTGCTAGTCATATATTTTTTAATGATTTGACAAAATTATCAAAAGCAAGTACCCATACAAAAAAGATAAGCATTAAATCCTGGTTCAATATAATAATTTTGAATAAACTCTCCCAAGATGAAAAGAAATGTCAGGATACTATCTATAAAAACAGTTTTAGGGAACTACTTTTTTTGTTGTTCTATGCATTTGTAAATCTAGATTTTAAATTTTTATTTTTTTCTTGGTTAGCTGCCTATGACAGAGAATTCTTCAGTTGAGACATTAGAAGGAGTGAAGGAGCCTGAAGAAATGGTTCCATGCTTAAGAACAGTTTCTGCTCTTCCAGAGGACCCAAGTTCAGTTCCCAGTACCCACAGCCAGTGGTTTACAATGACCTGTAACTCCAGTTCCAGGGGATGCAACACAATCTTCTGGTCTCCACAGATACTCATGTTCATACACACACATGCACACACACACACACACACACACACACACACACACCCTCATACATGTAGTTTAAAAATAAAATTTTATTTTTAAAAAAGAAAATGTGCAAATGATTTCTAAATTATATTAATAATTCCTCTTTTTGGTGAAATTTACCCTTCTTTTGTTTTATTTTCTCCTCTTTAGGTTTGGATGTGTGGAGGAGAGATGTTTGACGTTCCGTGTTCTAGAGTCGGTCATATCTACAGGAAGTATGTCCCTTACAAAGTTCCATCTGGGACCAGCCTGGCAAGAGTGAGTAACTGGGCACCAGAAGAGTCTGGGCTCACACAGACTCTGCTTCCTGTAGGCGGGTACTCAATCATGGTGTCAAGAGTTCCCATTCCTCTACTCCATCCCCACTGCTTAAAGAAGTATTGACTGTGATGGTTTTGTCGTGTGTCACCGCATCTTCACATGCGTTTGTGTTCAATATTAACCATCATCTTCTGCTAATCCTTATGTTAGTAGCGTTAAGTGTCAACTGGGTCAGCCATCAGTCCAGGCTACGGACTTGTCTACAGTGTCACCTATTTGTAGACCAAATGGAGGCTTAGGGAGGCGACTTGCTCATGAACACATGAATGACCAACAGTAGTAGTATAAAGCTGGGCCTCCAGGATGGATGGCCATCTTTCCCCCAGCATGGAGGAAAATAGTGAACATAATTAGTCAAATAAAGTAAGTAGTAAACGAGATGGGGGAAGTAGAGGCTCAGACTCAAGTTTCTCCTCCTTTAGAACTAGAGCTAACGCTAGATATAGCTTCAGACCATCGTCAAATTTCCCTTAATTAAGCAAGTCTAGTTTTGTTTCATTTCTGTTTTGTTTTGTTTAGAATAAAATTTTTCTTATAGATCCAATGCAAGGACACTTTTACCATCTGCCCTTCAGAAACTTCCATATGCCTGTTTGGGGAGATACAAAGTCACAAACCTTCTCCGAACAGCCCTGACGATGTCTCTGTCATCCATGTTGCTTTCCTCTTGGATGCGTCTGTTGTCTTCACCACGTTACATGTGTGCTACAGCTTAGACGCCAAGTCTAAAAGCGTGGTGTCTTCCAGATGCGTTGGTGCTGTGATCCCCTAGGGATCTAATTTTGAGTTGCTCTTTTTGAAGTCTTCACTAAAGTGCAATGCACAACCACTCAGGTCTTTTCTACATGATTCAGTAAACTCACATAGCAACTTTTTGTAAAGCATAACTATTATTGTTGTTGTTGTTATAAACTATTCCACTAGATTCATTCACAGATCACTCTCACAAGGGTGGGGCTTTGGGTCTGTTATTTTACGTTATACCATTATCTAAAATAGAGCTTGGAGATAACTTATTGAAGAGTTTAATTAATTAGACTCCTCAAGGACAAAACAGAGGTTCAAGTTGTTAATAAAACTTAAGACATTTTGCCGGGCGTTGGTGGCGCACGTCTTTAATCCCAGCACTCGGGAGGCAGAGGCAGGCGGATCTCTGTGAGTTCGAGGCCAGCCTGGGCTACCAAGTGAGCTCCAGGAAAGGCGCAAAGCTACCCAGAGAAACCCTGTCTCGAAAAACCAAAAAAAAAAAAAAAAACTTAAGACATTTTAATGAACTTTAATAAAATTATCATCCCTAGTGCATCCCTCCAGGCTCTTGTTCTTCCTCCCTTGCTCTGTGAGACTGTCAACAACATTCACATCTTTCTCTACCTACATCCACGGTCCTTTTAGCAGTCGTGAGACGTTCTAGAATGAGATTACACTGTACATTCCTTAACAGGAAATTATCATCAGACCACTCCCTGCTTCCTCCGAAACAATAAGATATTAATAATGCATTGCACTAAATACATGCTTAAAAGCACTGTTTGGAGAAAAATAGCAGTTATGAAATCATAAACTGATTAAAGAGCTGCATTTTGGTTAAAGAAATACAGTTTAATTTAGTCAAAGGACTTAATGCATATGAATGAGGAAGAAATACAAATTCACAGGCAGGTTAAAGAGTCAACAAATCCAAGCACACATTACAAATCAGCTGTGTGGATACCATCGCAGTGCAAAAGTCCTGAAGATAATGAATGGTGTCTTCCCATTCATCTACTTCCCTTCACTCATTCTCCTCGACTTGTGCCTCATTCATTTGTGGGCAGATGGTGCGTGTGGCCAGCTCGTAGTGTAAAAGACGAGTGGGGGAAAGGATGCTGATCCAAAAGGGGGTTGTTTGCAAAAATAAAAAATAAAACAGCTCATATATTTGGGGAAAGAAATGAAGCACTTTTTCAAAAGCTGTCAAATATGGAGAAACTAGGGTGGACCCATAAAACATCCAGGGAAAAAAATGAATATTCATTCGAATGAAAGAAGTCCATAACTCTGATTTTAATCTTTTCCACTTAAAATTTTACTTGGAGGCTCATTTTAGTTTTTTTCCTAAACTGCTAGAGCAATCAGAAAGTCATAAATATTGAGGCTCAAATGTCACTCTAAGGAACATTTTATGATCTTTGAAAGTATATTAAAATGAAAAACAATTCTGATATTTTGTGGGAGAAACCTAGCTACTTTGCCACACTCTGCTATTACTAAATCATCGAAAATGATAAGAGACTGTCAAGAGAATTGAAATGCAGAGTCACATCTCGTCAGTAGATATTTTAATCTTCCTGGCCTCGTTAGGAAATGGAGACGAAGCTGGAAACGTGACCCCAAAGGCTTGTTTATGTACTTTACAAAGCTCATTTAATCCGGTGAAAATGTGTACTTTTCATTTATGGACTTATGTAACTGATGATTCCAGCTCCCTCCAAATACACAGAGGTGTAAACACATGCACACAGGTGTGTGCACGCACATACACACACACACACACACACTCACACACACACACTCACAACACACACAGGCTGAAGTCCCCTAGTCAACACACTAGTGTATATTGTTAGAAACAAATTCAAATAACCTCATTCAGCACTTTCTCTTTAGCACTGTACTCTGATAAGAGGACATGACACAAGCTACCTACCTATCTGTGAAACACATGATAACAAATGATTCTCCACATGTGCTGGGAACAAGTGTCCAAACATCAGGAGGGACAGTGCTATTATAGTTCTGAACTTCAGTCCTTGCAAATAAAAGGCTTAAAAGAAGAACGTTAAGGATACCTCAGTTAGAATAATGGATTTCTAAGAACAGGGTTTTAAAATTCAGAACTAGTGACCAGCGTCAACTTCTAGCCAAGTTTTCACCCAATCTTCAGTGAACTGAGGAAAAGAAGAATCACAAAGCTGTATTTATTCAATCTAGCAGTATAGGTTGTGTGCATTAATATAGGGTTCTCTTGTGCTTCGGGGTTCAAGGTAGTCAGTTTGTTATTGTTAACGTCCTGATTGAGTAAAAACAAAACTTAACCTCGCTGTGTCATTTCCTCAAAATGCAAAAATCTGGGACTTGGTAATGCACAACTCAGCTTCCTGTGGGAACCAGAGCGTTTGCCTGGCATTCAAAATCCTGTTTACTTTTCTGAGTCGACTTGGAACCTAATGTCAGCACACTGGAGCACAGCCATGACAGTCTTCTGCCGGGAGTAAATGAGAGGTCCCGAGAGAAAGGATGCTCATCTCTACAGTTGTTGAGACTAGAAAGACTCTAGCGTTGTGGTGACCATCAATCATCGGCTCCAGAATGGCAGTGTCCTGGGCTCAACAGAGGATAATGAACAGCAGAGGTTGAATGAAAAATGCTTTGTCCCACTAGATGTGGCCAACTAACAAATGGATAGAAGGTCCCAAGTCCACCTTCTCTTTCTGACAAACACTCTCCTAGTTCCTTGGGGATTGTGGGAAGGGACTTAGACTCCTGTAATTGCCAGTGTGTTCCCTGGGAAGGTTCCCTAGGAGGGTCCCCCAAAGAGGATAATGCTATAGACTATGAGGTGGGCAGTCCTGGAAGCACACACAACTGTCGTTTTTTCTAGGCGATAAGCCTAGAACCAACTATGGGAGAGGGGCAAGTTCACATGTGTGTAAACTCACATGTGTATGCATGGGTGTAGAGGCCAGAGATCAACCTCCAGAGCTGTTCATCACAGACTGCCTATCTTGTGTCTTGAAACAAGGTCTCTCATGGGTCCTGGACTGAAACATTAGCCAGCAAGCCCCCAGATCCACCTGTCTCCACATGCCTAGCACTAGGATTACAGGCATGCACCACCATGCCTGGATGTTTAGGTGGGTGCTGGGGATCAAACTCAGGTCCTTGGACTTGCATAGCAGACATTCTCCCAATTGAGCCAAGGCTAGAAACAACCCCTATCTTAAGTCTGTAAAGATGCACCAGTGCATGCCAAACAGGACTTCACATCCCAATATTTCACCTTTGATGTGCCAGGAATTTATTTTTGATTCTAAAATACCATCTTAACTTTAATGACAACCATTCAAGAGTGTGGGGGATTTTGGATTTTTTTTTTTTTGCAAGTTTCAGAATAAAAAGCTAAGGTCAAAGAAGTGAAATCTGGTAGAGGTCGTATTTTCTGGAATGTTCCATAGTTCTGGGGGGGAGAGGCAACTCGCAGCAAAAGGGACAGAGGTTTAATGGCAAATGAGTAGACTTGGAATTATGACACAAGGTCTGTGACCAAAGCATGCCCTTAAACACCCCTGCCTTTACAGAAGACTTGGAATAAAAAGCAGCTATGGCCTTCATGGCAGAGGCACCAGCAAAAGTGGGAAGGAGCAGGCACACGGTTACATCAGGCTGCATTTGAGACCTGTGAGGCTGACCCATGAACATGCAATGGAGGAAGACCCTGGAGGTCTCTGGACCATGAGGCCCACCCTCCTCTTTCAGACTGTGAGGAGGAACGGATGGTTTTCAAACAGCAAGAACTAGAGGAAAAGTACATAGAGTAAAATGAAAACATCAACCAATATTGAAGGAGAGTGAGAATAAAGAAAGTAACATTACAGATGCAAGAAACCTGTAAAGACAATTTCTTAAAAGATTTGTATGAATTTGCTATACTGTGCAAAAAAAAAAAAAAAAAAAAAAAAAAAAAAAAAAAAAAAGGTTAGTTCGATGGACTATGTGTGAAGTTTCCCTCTTGGCCTGTGAGAGAAGATAGTATCAGCACAAAAACAGAGGGATGAAAAGGGGGAGAGACGAGGTTGAGGACTGTGTAGGTAAGTGAATTCTGATTTGGGCTCTGGGAGCACCAGGTCTAGAGAGACACATTTTCCTAGATTCTGCAAGAATGTGTGCTGTTCCCTTGA